TTCAGCACAAAGTCACCGGCGTGACTCCCATATCAAAGCGCTGCCCTGAGTGACGGGCGCAGGACGCGCTTTGTACTGCTCAAAACTCATTAGGCCATGAAATAACTTTATCCTGCCAAGGCAGGAAAGAACAACAGATGCCGGGTTTGCATTATCGGCATTATTTAGCCCAGCAATCTTTAGACATTTGGGTCAAGTTTCTACAAATTCGTGGCTTTCATCCGAGCGGGGCATCGTGTGTCCTCACCCCCCGCTCTGACCCACCTAATTGAGGTCCCTCTCCAGCACTGCCCTTTGTGTGCCGACAATTAACCATACACCAACAAGGTTTGATTTAATTTCTGCCTGCGCCAGGGCATAAATCAAGGCTTCAGCTTGAACAAGGGGGCCTATTGTACGCCACGAGGGAGGGGAGGCTCTGGAGGGTCTGAGGATGGTGCTCCACCTGCTTCCTTCTTCTCTCCTTCCTTTACCTTCCCGCTGTTCTCCTCCTGCTCTGCCTGATTCCTGCCCCATCTCCTTCCCTCGTGTTTTCCTCCACGCAGCCATTCCCCATTTCCCCCAGGCTCCGTTCCCGCTCCTACTTTGTTTCCTAAAATAAGCAACCATGTGCTCACCCTTTAAGCATCATTAGGTTTCAGGAGCAACACTCCAATAAGACTCAAGGGAGAGAGGCTAGTTCATAAATCTCGCCTGAAGGCAATCTGCAGGCTCGAGCAGCATAAGCACATCCGTAACACCCACCATTGTGACCGTGAGGTTTGGCTCACAACTGCGGGGCAGGCAATTGGCTTTACCCTCTTCCAGGCTATCGGTCCTGAACAGGCTCCCTGGAAACAAACTTGGGGGACAGGTCGGCCAAGATGCTGTGTTAAAAATGCCCTTTTTTGGGTGTTGCATTTATACACACCTTTAATAGATGATGACTTTCATGCAAGCACAGTAGTTACTTTCATTCGTTTAAATGATCTCTAGGACTATCAGGAAAAAATTAGGAAGCAGCATCTTGAAGTTGAAAAGAAGTGAAATCAACTTATAGGATTCGTTCAATGCAAAAAGCCTGGAAAAAGCACAAGCAGACCTGCAGGAAACCCCAACCTTCAGGAAAGCAGCCTGCAGAAACACGAGTTACTGGGATTTTTCCACTCTAGCTGCAACGCTCCCACACGGGCTGGACCTCACCTCCCCAAAACCCTGCGTGCAGCTGCACGGTCTCACCGGGGGACGTCTCTCCCTCATGGGCCAACCCAGCCAAAACTCCAGGGCCACAGCCCCTTCCTTCCCGGCGCACGCATGGGCGCAGGCAGGCTCCCAGCACCACGCATGCCGCTCTCCAGGAGACATTTGGCTAAAACCGTCTGCGCGATCTGCTGCAGAAGTTGCTAAAAATAAACCAGCAATGCTCAAAGAACAAGTCCTTTTGATGCAAATACCCAACTGCACCAAAAAAGAAAAAAAAAAAAGCGCACTTTTCTTGGTCAAATGCAGTAAGCAGGGATATGGGCTTCAGGGTTTTTTGCTCCACCTGTCCCCTATCTGTCTGTGCGGTGCTGAGGCCACCCAGCGCGGAGCCCTCCGGGCAGCCGAAGGGGCTCGGCACGCCGGGGCCCTGCCCGGGAGCATCGCTGCTGCGTGCACGTGGAGGTGTCACAAGGCCTTTAATAAACAACACATACTGAGAAGTGGGGAGTTTACTTACACTTGCATGGAGTTTTCCTTTTTTTGACATCGCTAAAAATTTGTTGCTGAAAACTCCTCGTATTCCTACAATCCCCTGAGACACAGCAAATATTTCCAAAATACCTAGGATGACAGAAATCCCAAAATAAATCACAGTTCTTTTCACATTGGTGTGACAAAGAAAAAAAAATATCAGTCTCATAGGTTTGCATTTCCTCTCCACATGTCCCTGCTCTCGGCTGCCTGGCTCCACGCAGCACTCCTGCTCCATCCCTCCACCCCGCAGAGGGACCTGCGTCGACTCCGGGATGGCTACAGAGGAGGGGGGGTCT